TGCTTTTGTTTCCACAGGAAAAATAAAAATTTACATGGGTGTTGTCATTTGAGTTCAATGAGTTACAAATACTTGCCATCATTTAAGAGAACTGGTTTCAAATTATTGTTAGTTAAGATAAAAAAAAATGTTTTAAAAAAATATGTAAAATGCAAGTTATTAGAATACATAAAAGCAAGGTATAAAGGTCTGAGGATAAAAAAAAAGGCTTAAATAATGGTTAAAAAAATGATGACTTGAGATATATATAAAAAAATAAAATGTGTTTCAGATTTCTTTGTCTTGCTATTCTGCTGTTACACTGAGACTCCAAAGGGTCATAGTTGTAAAAATGTCTGTCTACTCTACAGGTATGAATGAAAAATGTGGCCACATGTATGTTTGGTTTTGAATGTCTGAGTTTGCATGTCCTTTATGTTAAGGAATACAAGTTAATACTAGTCATCTGGCTATTCAGATACTAGTTTAAAGCATAAACTGTTCTATTTTAATAAAAAAAAACTGAGAGGTATATTTGACTAATATATCTATAGGAGAACAAATTGGCCTGATTATTGTTACCAAACTTAGAGATATTTTCAAGATTGGGCCTAGATTTATTTGGCTCAGATACATTTAATAGATAATGGTCCTCAAACCTGTTCAAAGATCTGATAAATATGGCATTTACATTATTTGATAAAAAGCTTACTATAGCAAACAGAGACTTCAAGCTCCCCAGCTCCTAGCAATGACTCCCAAGGTCTCCAAAAAAGATATGGAGCAATGACAAGAAGATGCCACCTGAATTGTGGACAACACCGACCACTGGGCAAGACACTCTGACTCAACACCTGCTGCCAGGGATTTGGCCTATGAGACACTGACAAGATAAGGTCAGTTTTTACCAAGTTGCTCCTCAACAGGGAAAATTTCACATTATGGGCCCAGCAGCCAAGACTGATGCTGTCCTGACACCTGTCCTGCCAACACTATGAAGACTATAGGAGCCTGGGATGATGGCAGTCTGGGTAATGGATAGTCTCTGTTGTTTTTTAAATAGATTTAAAAGTCTGCACTCAGGTAAAGTTTATCCTTCTCAGATCTTTGATGACATTGATGACTGGACTAGCTATAGCTTTCTCAGCTTAGTAATTGATTGATCAATGGATTAATTAATTAAAGCTAATAAGTCTTTTTAAAAAAAGATAAACAGGTTCTAAATATAGACTTACAGATGCTTTTCATTGAGCCAAGGAAATTTCAGTCCAATCTATACTTGGCTCTCTAGATAGAAAAGACACTATGGATTTCAGGGCAAATTGATAATACTACAATTACTAAGACTATGGGTCTAAAAGTTCCAAATAAGCTCGTAAGTTTTAACTCCTGTTCCTAGTTTATATCTGTCTCAACAGGTTTCCACTTAGCTGACAGATACATCCTAGCATCATTTGCTGGTGACAACCTACTGCAAATGACTGTGAGCCCTGAACTTGCTGAAAGCTGATATGGACCAATTCAGCCGATATGCATACCATCTCTTCAGCTGGTCAATAAAACGTTCCCTCTTGTCTTTGACTAACATTCTGGCTTTCCAGGGCCCTGACAACAACGTCCCAATGTCAGCAGGAAGTAATTACAGAAGAGAAAACATCGCCCTTGTTTCCCGCTCCACCACCCCCCCCCCCCCCCGAATGTTAGATCAAAAGGGAATTTCTTGTCATAGGGAACCTGAGATAAAGTTCCAAGTTCCTTAAGAATAAGGAACTCTGTCAGCCATCACAAGGCTTTTGGCCCTTGTGCTTCTGCTAATTACTGTTGGCTCTTATATCACTGATGTCTTAACTAAATGATGATTCATGTCTGGGTACCACTAAACGGAGGATGCTAGAATTCCAATATCCACCTCTGAACCCATGACACACTTGCAGATGGCAAATACTGAATAAGGGGAAGCTCGCTTTGCCATTGATAATGGGAAAACTCTTATGTTCTGGTCCAATTAGTCTCCGATATGGAATTCTTTGAGCAGAGAGGCAGATACACTCGAGAACCTGTGTCTATGACTATTGCCCTCTTGTTAGGTATTGGGGGCATCACTGCAGGAATTGGTACAGGAACTACTGCCCTCGTGAAGAGCAACCACCTTATGCAGTTACAAATGGCTATGACTACTGACCTAGAGGCCATAGAAAGATCCATTTCTGCTCTGGAGAAATCTTTAACCTCGCTCTCTGAGGTTGTGTTACAAAACATAAGAGGTCTGGATTTATTATTTTTAAAGGAGGGGGGATTATGTGCAGCCTTAAAGAAAGAATGCCGCTTTTATGCCGACCATATGGTATTGTCAGGGAATCGATGGAAAAATTAAGGGAAAGGCTAGCCCAAAGAAAAAGGGAGTTTGAAGATCAGCACGGGTGGTTTGAAAATTGGCTGCAAGGGTCCCCCTGGCTCTCCACCTTGCTACCTACCATTCTAGCCCCCTTAATTGTTTTTCTCCTTCTCATTACCTTTGGTCCCTGGGCCAGATTCCGAGGAGGCCGGCCAGGAGCCCCATCAAGGACTCAGATTCAGTGTCCTAAGGCCCTAACGTCCCCACGGTCTTGCTAGAGGGTACCCAATGACAGGAATAGTACAGGGCTCACGCCGGAGACAACAGCGTACAGAGGTCGTCGAGACCGGCTCAACATGGCACGCTGCCGAGCGTGGGAAGCCCCCTGTGTAGCCTAAGACAGGGACTCTCTCGGACCCTAGCCACCCCGATCACATGGACTTGGTCCATTTTTGAGAAAAGAGGGGGAACTGTTGGAGACCGACTCCAGACAGCTATGTCTTGAATTTTGTGTGACCTTCCTTACTTTATCAAACCTTGCAAAAAACAGGTTTCTGGCCTAACCGCGGGCTGTACAACTTCCTGGAGTACGTGCTAATCAGCCAGCTGCAGGGGCCTGGGACCAAAGCGACCTCACCCTTCCTTAGGAATTTTCCATTCTTCTCTCCTTTTGCTTCCCCTGCTCCCCCTCCCTGCCTGAAGCCCTGCTTATAAGCCTCAATACCCAGTCAATAAACGAGACCTTGACGCGACTCAGACTGACTCTGTCTTCCCTTATGCGCCTGGTCTCCTTTCTCTCTCGCCCCCATTGATCTTTCAGGAAGTGCCTCCTCGGGTCTCCCCAATAACCTGGCCCGTGGGACGGGTCAGAAGAGCAGTGGGTGTGCTTAACCACTGAGCCTTCTCTCCAGCCCCCACTTTTTTATTTTTTTATTCAGAGTTGAAAATCAAACTCAGGGCCTTGAGCATGCCACGCTACGTATAGTGTAATTCTACTAGAACACATAAAAATATTTTAAAGATTTATCTTATTTTTATTTATCTGTGTGTGTTTCTCTCTGTGTATGTGCCACATGTGTGTGTGAGTGCCCACAGGGACTAGAAGAGGGCGTCAGATCCCCTGGGACTGGAGTTCCAGATGGTTGTGAGCAGCTCACTTTGGGTGCTAGGGACTGAACTCAGTCCTCTGGAAGAACAAGTGTTCATAACTGCTGAGTCATCTCTCCAGCCCCTATAAAGGTATTTTTAAATACCTATAACCTTAGACACTGTTTTCTGAACATGCATGGAACAGTCTCTCTGGAGCAAAGGATTTGTCACAGTGGAGATGTGGAGACAGCATGCATGAACACTTTAGAACTTCCTATACAATCTGGTAGCTACCATGAACAGCGGGGTACTGAGTGTTAGCCTTGGACCCTCTGAGAAATAGGGACAAGGTGTCCACAGATGTCCTCCCAGAGCTGAAATTCCAGACACAGAAAATAAACAGAACTGTAATTTTAGAACTTGTCTGGCAGTGCCACTGGACACATGGTCTTAGGCCACTGACAAGCCACAGTGCAATCATTTAGTAACAAGAAGACACTGGTCCCCTGGCTTCTACCAGCTATGGCAACCAAGTATGCAGTTTAGTTCAGATAACATTGTGTGTGTTTGTACGTGTTTTTGTGCATGTGTGTGCATGTGTATGTGTGCATGTGTATGTGTGCATGTAGAGGCCAGAACAATAACCTCAGTGGCCATTCTATTTGTTTGGTTGTTCAGTTTTGATTTTTTGTTTTGGTTTGGTTTGGTTTTTCGAGACAGGGTTTCTCTGTTTAACAGCCCTAGCTGTCCTGGAACTCACTCTGTAGACCAGGCTGGCCTTGAACTCAGAGATGCATCTGCCTCTGCCTCCCTAGTGCTGGGATTAAAAGCATGCGCCACCACACCCAGATCAGCTGCTAGTCTTTAGGCACCATCCACCTGAGATAGGCTCTGTCACTGGCCTTAACTCAACCTGGCCAGGGAGCCCAGAACCTGCCTGTCTCTGCCTCCCCACCACTTCTGGCTCTGTTGTTGAACATAAGGTGCTGGAGATCAAACACAGGAACTCATTCTTATGAGGTAAACCCTTCACTGCTGAGCCATCACCCCAGCCCTAGTATGCTTTCTTGTAAGACTTTCTCAATGAAGGAAGCTGAAGGCACAGGTTTCCATTCTGTAACAGCAGCTGGGCTGGCAATGTGGAGCTGCCAAGCATTGCAAATAAAATAGGCTGAGGGTATCATCCTTGGAGAGGAATGATGGGGAAGTTTTTGCTCAAATGGCAATCTTTTGTCTATCTGGTTAGCTTTGTAGTGATGGGAATGGAACCCAGGACATCATACCTAAGCAAATGCTGTATCACTGAGCTAAACCCCAGCCCTGAACTAGCAGCCTTTGAAAAATATTTAGGTGTTGGCTCAATGGCAAAGGCACTTGCTGCCAAGCCTGACAAGCTCAGTTCAATCCCTGGAGCCTACAAGGTAGAAGGAGAGAACTCTAGATGTCCTCTGGCCTCTGCATGTGTGCCATAGCACTCATATCCCCTACACACATGCACACAAATAAGTAAATTTGATTTTAAAATTTTTACAAATATTTAGGTTTAAAAACAGAAGACATAACAAACATCCCTCACAAAAATAACTGCCCCACTCACCAGAAAAGGTGTGCAGACCCAGGTGAATGTGCCCACAGCTGCCAGGTATGCAGATTTCTTTAGCACCTTCAGCTCCTCCTGCCTGATGTCCATGACCTTGTCCTGGAATGCCAACTCCCAGGCATATAGCTTAAGTACTTTGATCCCATTGAGGATCTCATTCATCAGCTTGATTCTGTTGTCTTTGCTCTTCATGTGGGCCACCTGCAGGGAAAGAGATCAGCAACCTGGGCCCTAGAGACATCTATAATTAGAAATGGCTCCTACCAGAGATTGGGAAAGCTGGCCTTGGAACCCATGAGCCATAATGTCAGCTCCCAGACCATGGCAAAAGACTCAGCCATTATAAAAGTTGAAACTTCTTCAAATCAGGTTGGATTCGACTGAGAGACCAACTCAGAAATGAGAGATGGAAGTGAGACAAGGCCCACAGGCAGTCAAAGAACAGGGAATGCCACCTCATGCTGCTGATCCGAACCAGGAGAGAACAAATTGTTCCCCCTTTCCTTTTTACTCTCTTCCTCCCTTCTGTTCTTTCTCTTCTAGCACTCTCTTTTTACAGGGTCTTACTCTATAGTCTCCCTGCCTCAGCTTCCCAAGTGCTAGACTGACAAGAGCACCACCATGCCTGGCGTTTTTTCTTTTTCTCGTAACTGATTTCCAGCCACGCTCTGGTCATTAAAATACTGAAACATGCCAGATCTGGCTGGCACTGGTTCTGATAAGCCATGACAAAGACATGTAGTTGTTAAATATTTTAAAACCATCTGGGTGATGTTAAAAACATCACCCTTGGTAGACAGTTTTCAAAGCATTTCATACACAGCCATGCCATGTTCAGCCAGGTGGTGCCATGGTCACCCCTGGGTCACACACAGGGAAACCATATGCAACTAGACCTGAAAACAGAGATAGGAGCAGTTTTGGAGGTGAGCCACCCAGGGAAGCCTACTTATTCAAGGACAAAACCTGCCGACTGGCCTGCTCCAGGAAGTCAGCCTACAAGGCCACCATCCCATCATAGTCAGTGCACTTGGAGGCCATCAGTGCAGCCAAGGACAGCACGCCCAACAACAGGGGGCAGAGAAACATGGGATGTGAATACCACATGATCCACACAGGAAGATAAAATCTTACCACCACAAATGTCCACTGGATTAAAAATACATGATAAAAGTATCACCAGTTTAATGTTTTTATGGGATTCCTGAGTATGCAAACAAGCATGTCTCTGTTTCTGGTACCTTCTCTCTAGCTTGTTTCCTTCTGTTTGTTTTGTCCAATTTCAATGAGTAAGCTCTTAGTTTATCTTTATCTTTCATCATTATATTATATTATATTCCCTGAGAAGCCTGTTTGTTTTCTTTTTTTTTTTTTTTTTTTTTTTTTTTTTTTTTTTTTTTTGGTTTTTCGAGACAGGGTTTCTCTGTGTAGCTTTGCGCCTTTCCTGGAACTCGCTTTGGAGACCAGGCTGGCCTCGAACTCACAGAGATCCACCTGGCTCTGCCTCCCGAGTGCTGGGATTAAAGGCGTGCGCCACCACCGCCCGGCGCCTGTTTGTTTTCTAATGAGAGACAAGAAAGGGAATAGATTCAATGGGAGGGGAGATAGGAAGGAACTGGAGGGGTACAGGGAAGAGAACTATATCAGGACATATTATATGAGGGGGAAAAATTTACTTTCAATAAAAGGAGGAAAAAAAGAACTATTAAAAAGAAGCATATCATTTCATACCAAGCCTAATTATACATATAATTATATTGTATGTGGAAAGCTCTAGAGGTAAAGCCAGGCAGGATGGTGCAAGTTTGTAATCCTTGCGGTTTGAGACAGGAAGACTGAAAGTTAGGCCAGTCTGGGTTACATGATAAAATCAAGACAAGGAAGGAAGGGACGGAGGGAAGGAGGAGGGGGGGGGGAGGCAGAAATTACAGCCAGGCAGTGGTGGTGCACACCTTTAATTCCAGCATTCAGGAGGCAGAGGCAGGCAGATCTCGATGAGTTCTAGGCCAGCCTGGTACAAAGTGAGTTCCAGGACAGTCAGGGCTACAGAGAAACCCTGTCTCAAAAAACTGAAGAGAGAGAGAGAGAGAGAGAGAGAGACAGAGACAGAGACAGAGACAGAGACAGAGAGAGACAGAGAAAGGGAGGGAGGGAGGGAGGGAGGGAGGGAGGGAGAAGAAAGGATCCACTTCAGTGTGGCCAAGAAGGTAGGACACAGGACACCACTCCTTCTAACCTACAGTCTTTTGTAGCTTAAAATTGTATAGTAGAAAAGCACTTACTGTGTTAAAACACTTTTTAAAAAAGTGTCTCTCAAAATAAGAGTTAGCACTGTATATACATAACTAACCACTACAAAAGAGGGAGGGAGGGAGATGTGCTCCCAGTCACTATGACAGAGTATCTCTCTGCCTGCCTGCCTGCCTGCTCAGACCAGCTCTGGGGCATTGACCATGGCTGCCCCTTGGAAAACTTGCAGAAACTCCAAGGCCAGGACACTCAGGGAAACAATGTTGCTGTATTATGGAACCTATAATAGATGAGGCTGACCATCAGGAAACTGGGTGACCTTCATCTGGAAAGACCCAGGCCAGGGCTCAGGGTGAAGCCTCATGGAGATAGACATCCTACCTGGTAGGTCTTGGTCTTCATGGCCATCACAGCATTGAAGGGTACCATGAAGACCATCACAGCCACCCCAGCCAACACAGAAGGGCCCAGGTTCTAAGGAAAGACAGGTGATAATTAGTCACTTGGTAAACAGAAGAGAGGCCTGGTACTCACATCATCTAATGTCCCAAAGATGGGACATCAAAAGTTTTCAGTTGGGGTCCTCCCAACCCTTTTAAGAATATGTAGGCAAACTATCCCTTATCCAAAGCTCTTGAGAACCAGGTAAGAAATGCAAATTTGACCTTTGGAATCTTAGAAGGCCTTAAGGTGCTGGCTAGTTAACCTCCAGCCTGATGACTTAGTACCAATCTGGATGGCTGGAAGGGTGGCTATAAGATTGGCTGGTGGCCCATGAACTGTGAACTGGTGGCTGTGGAGCCCCCATGGGACTGGACTGGGCCCTCTGGACACGGAAGATGGTTGTTTGGCTCCAACTGTTTGGGGGACACCCAGGCAGGAGGATCGGGATCTGTCCCTGGTCCATGGGCAGGCTTTTGGGAATCCAGTGCCTGTGGTGTGACACCTTGCACAGCCTTGGTGCAGTGGGAAGGGGCTTAGACCTGTCTAGGCTCAGTGTGCTGGGCTCTGCTGACTCCCCATGGGAGACCTCGATGTGGGGGATGTGGGGATGCGGGGTGGCTTGGGAAAGAGGGCTGGAGGTGGAAGGAGGGAGGAGGGGGGATCTGTGGATAGTATGTGGAGTAGAAAATTTCTTAATAAAGAAAAATGAAAGAAAATAAATAAATTAATTAATTAAAAAAAAGATTGGCTGGTGGCTGGCACTGTAAGACTTGGGTTTCAAAAGGGTTTCCTGTCACTCAGAGAACAGGTAGGGAGGACTTGCTTCACCTCAGCCTGCACCAACAGTGTGGCTTGTGTGCCACCTCCTTACTTCTACAAGGCATTTTGTACTTGTCAGGCAGAGCATACACACAGATGAGATGCAATAACCTATCTTCCCCAGCTTCACAACTGTGACCTTGACTTGCTAGAGACACAAACTTGTTGCTGTCTGCTCTTACATGGGTGCCTTATCCTTGCTGAGTGTATGTATGCACATGTGAGAGTGTGCACGCATTCTCGCACATGCGGGAGTTGACTCTGGTGTCTTCCTCAGTAACTTTTCACTTCATTTCTCAAGACAAGATAGAGTTTCATGATCCCAGAGCCATTTCTTCCCAGTACTGGGAGTAGAAACATGTGCTGCAGGGCCTCGCTGTTTGCATGGGTAATAAGGATGCAAACTCAGGCCTTCATGTTTGCACAGCTGGCCTTTTATGGATTAAGCCATCCCCCAGCATCTCTGATGGTTTTCTATAATCAGCTCTGACTTGATTGTCCAACTAGGGAATCTGCAAGCCTGGTATGGCTCTGGGGACCCTGATACAGTACATGCCACACACTTCATGACACTCCCAGCACAGGCTAGAAGAACATTCTATGATCAAATGCACTGATTTTTAAAAAATGTTTATTATAATCATTTGCATGTATACTTGGGCTTGTTGGGCAGGGTATGATACACAAGTGTGTGTGCATGGGGGTGGCCATACACAGGGTGAGTGTTCATAGGGGGTGGGGGTGCAGTATACAGGTGTGTGTGTATGAAATCAAACTTGGGTGCCATTCCTCAGGATATCATCTGCCTCGATTTTGGCTGGTCAGGCTAGGCTAACATGTCAGTGAGCCCTAGAAATTTGTCTTTCTCTGTCTCAATTGCCACAATTCTTATATTATAGAGTTTTTTTTTGTTTTGTTTTGTTTGAGAGGGAGGGTCTGGAGGATCAAACTTGGGCCTTTGTGCTTACCTGGCAAGCACTTGTAGATTGATCCACCTCCCTAACTTTACAAATAAAAATTTTATGGGTTAATTCCACACTTACTGCTTTTAAAAAAATGTATTATATATATGTGTGTGTGTGTGTGTGTGTGTGTGTGTGTGTGTGTGTGTGTATAAATGCCACATGTATACATGTGCCAGCCAGTGGAGGCCAGAATAAATCAGATTCCCTGGAGCTAGAGTTACAGGCAATTGTGAGCTGCCTGACATGGGTGCTGGGAACCAAACTTGGATTCTGAAAGCAGCAAGCACTCCTAACCCCTGAACTATCTCTCCAGCCAAGTTATGTTTCTTTCTCTCTCTCTCTGTCTCTCTCTGTCTCTCTGTCTCTCTGTCTCTCTCTCTCTCTCTCTCTTTCTCTCTCTCTCGCTCTGGTTTTTCGAGACAGGGTTTCTGTATAGTTTTGGTGCCTGTCCTAGATCTCGCTCTATAGACCAGGCTGGCCTTGAACTCACAGAGATCCGCCTGGCTCTGCCTCCCAAGTGCTGGGATTAAAGGCGTGTGTCACTACCGCCCGGCTAGGTTTCTCATACAATATAAACATATTGGGAAATAAATTTTATAATAATTTTTGTTATCTGCTTAGTCACCCTGAGGATCACATGCTCATTTAGCCAATTGTCACAATTTAGGATACTGAAGACACACACTGTTACAATAAGTATTTCTTAGGTGGGGTGAGGGGAGGATGTGCTCAAGGTCATAGAACCCAGAATGGAAAAGACAGCCTGGTTCCAGGGCAGCCTCAGCAGCCACCATCTTAAACTGTGGGGTTGGTGGTCTGAATAAGGAAATCCTGCTTTGGTCTCAAGACAGCCTTACTGTACAGACCAGACTAGCCTCCCTTAGATCCTTCTTTATAATTCACAAATAAAATATGGAGGCTTCTCAACATTTCACATGGATTACAGTTCCTAGGAAAGGGTGCACTCCATGGTATCCACTTGAAGATTTGTATTTAGCTATTTATGTTCTCTGTGTGGGGCTGGAGTCACAGTGCAGGGCTGCTCCCCAAGAGCCAGGTCCTGGGTCTGGTTTTTCTTTCTCAGCTACATCATCAAAAGCATTTCACTCACCACTCATTTCCATCTATACAAAACAGTGACATTGGTGAGATGGCTCTGTGAGCAAGGGTGTTTGCCACAGGTGAGCTGGGGAGATAGGATCATGGGTCTGATGACCCTAGGTTCCATATGGTGGAAGGAGAGAACTGATGCTCACAAGTTGTCTCCTGACCTTCACATGAGCTGTGGCAGACAAACACACACACACACACACAAATAAATATAATTTTTTTAAGTTTAAATGTAAACTCCATTCAACAGATGGAGCTGGTTTTTTGTTACTGCTGTTGTTGTTGTTTTGGCTCTTTGGGGTTGGGGGAGTTGTTTGTTTTTGCTGGAGTGATCAGGTATAACACCCACCAGAGACATGGAGACTCCAATGCTATTCGTCCACAAGGGTGTCAAGGATAGTACACTATGAGGCCAAAAATCTACTTTAGAAGATCAAATCAGACACACTCCTATGCTAAGGATACCGGGACTCCCAGCTGGGGAGCTGGGTCAGTAGGTTAAATGTTTGTCCTACACACACACATGTGGCCTGAGTTCATATCCTCAGAACCCATGTAAGCACATCTGTAAACCCAGATACCTACAGTGTGAGGGGAGGATGAGGTAGGAGTAACCTAGATGTCTGAAGGTCAGTCAGCCTGGCACACACAGCTGGGAACAACAGAGAGACCCTGTCTCAAACAAGGTAGAAAGGGAAGACCAACATTCAAAGTTATCCTCTAACCTCAAGTGTCAGATCACGGTCCAGGAATGGATTTACATGAGAATTCTAAGAGCCTGTGAGAACACTCCAAGAAAATAAGGCAAGACCCTTGTGATCTCAGTTTCCTGAAAATACGCAATTGTTCTTGGAATGTGTTTTTTTAATCCTCCCAGGTGTAGTGGGTAGGAGTGAGTTTACTTCAGATTACTCATTACTGTTTGCTGAAGTTATTGGATTAAATATTTAAATTATCACTTATATGCCTCTATGGAAAAACATGTTTTTGCCACTTGTGGCTTTGTCCTTGTGATTGTACAGCTTGAACTCATGAAAACTTTACTCATGTGACTTTTCTTAATCCTCAGGATATAATTTGTCTGGGCCTCTGAATAAAGTTGGCTATTGCATGAGACTTTAGTTTACCTTGTTTATTGGTTCCATTTTCCCATGTCCCATTGCCTCTAGAGCCATGACACTCAAGCCAGTGTGCCCACACTCACAACATGTGAATGTGCACACATGTCTGCACTGGGAGGTGATCCACCAAAGATGGGTTAAGAATCATCAATTGGGAGTAAGGAGGGCAATTCCTTCAGCTGTAGATGGAACTCAGTGGTAAAGCACTTGCCTAGCATGCAAAGGGGCCCCAAATTGCATCCTCAGTACTGGGAGAGAGGAAAAAAAAAAAGGAAAAAAAGAGAAAGAATTCCTGTGGGAATGGACAGAGCATGTGCTGTTTCTGGCTTACCATCTTCTCAGTCTTGGAGCTACTCATGGCCCAGCAGAAAGATTATTACATCTTTTTGCAACAGAGAGGAATCATGACTGAGGGTGGCCAATTAGACTGAGCTAGTTAATCACAGTGCCCCAGGAGAGACCCATAGAGGCAATGAATGCCATTAGCTCTTCTCTTGTATTATTGTCCATAAAGATGACACAAGGCCATTATCAATGAAGCCAATTAAAGAAAGCAGGGCCAAGAAATAACAAGAAAGAAACTGAATCCTCTAAACATGGCAGTTCTTCTGGACCCATCCATACCTGGGGATCCCCAGATTGTCTAGGTATGAGTACTCCTCTCCCAAAATTCCTCTTGTCTGTTCAAGCTAAGATGGATTTCTATTCCTTACAATGAAAAACTCTTGGCCAATATACTTAGGTTCAATAAATAAGTTTGTTTCACATTTGAGGGGATACAGTGGGAGAAAGTTGGTGGTTTAACTATATATAAGGTTGTTAATTACATATACTTCATGAAAAGATTATCATGACCATGGTGATGCATGTCTATAATCTCAGCACTGTGAAGGCAGAGGCAGGAGGATCTCTGAGTTTGAAGACAGCCTAGTAGACATAGCAAGTTCCAGGGCAGCAAGGACTACATAGTGAGACCCTGTCTCAAAAGGAAAACAAAAACAAAAAAACCTGGGTGTGGCAGTATCCATCTGTCATCCCAATGCTGGGGTAGGGGAAACAGAGACAAAAGCTGGAGCTCATCGGCCAATTACCCTAGCTAAATCAGTGAGCTCCAGGCTCAGTGAGAGATATTCTCTCAAAAAATAAGGTGGAGAGAGATTGGGGAGGACACCTGAGGTCCACTTCTGAATCCTGTGTGCACAGGTGTGTATTCATGCCCACCTGCCTGCCTGCCTGCACACACACAGAAATGACAGTGTATAGAACTTATCCCTGATGACACAAGGAAAGAATAAAATAACCAGAAACTGGTCAATGGACCAGAAATAAAATGTAAATAACAGCAAGAAATGTTCTTTCCCATCCATGCCCTCCATGTCAGTGTCTAAACAAGGCCAGCCCTCCCTGCACAAGAAGGAGACCAAGAGCAAACACACACCAGCCACAGAAGCCAGAGGGCTAGGATGACTTGCAGAGGGGCTGACCAAACCATGTTAATGTATGTAGCCAAGTCCATGAAGCGCTGGGCATCCACAGACATGAGGTTGACGATCTCCCCAACCGTAGAAGACTTCCTAGCTGAATTGGTGATGACAAGAGCCTGCGGGATACAGGAGAGGGGAAGAGTTGAACCTACAGGTGAAGGCAAAGAGTTGTGGACTCTCCCCAGACCCTGGAAAGACTCTGGACAGTGGTTTTCTCCTCCCCATCCTGAGCTGTTCTAGGTACTTTCTAAACCATGGCCTTGCACATTTCAGTATGCAGGCATGTCACCTGAGGGTAGAACCCTGTGATTTCTTGATCAGCAGGTGGTGGTAGGCTAGGATTCTGGATTTCTAAGAAGCTCAAAGGTCATGAAAATGTTGCTGGCTCCAGATCCCAACACAAGGTTCTCAGCCTTGGCACTCTGACACTGGGAGCTAGAAAATGCTTTGTTTGGCCAGTCTGCATACTGACTGTAAGATAGTCTCTGGCCTCTACTCAGAAAATTGTGATACCAAGTCATGATACCTAAAGTGTCTTGAGGTGTCAGGGGCAAGTGACTCTAGTGGAGAGATCCATTAGGGACATTTATTCTCAAGCATGGTTGTACACAATCATCTGGAGAGTCTTAAAAAATACACCTGTGCCACTGAGCACAAGCTCGACTTCAATATCCCACTGGTCTGGGCTGCAGCCTATGCACCAGGACTCAAGCTAATAGGCGAGTGTAACAGGGGGTAGGAAACACTAGGAAAGCCAATTCTCTTGCCAGCCTGTGAGTCAGGTGGTGGTACTACCTCAGAGGCCAGGGCATGAGTGTGCTGGAAGATCACTAAGTCCCTTTAAGTTACCTGTTTTCTAAGGAGAGAGAGAAAGGATGTGGATTTGGGTAGATAGGGGGGATCAGAGAGGAATTGGAAGAGGGGAAACCTTGATCAAAATATATTGTATAAAAAAATCTATTTTCAATAAAAATTAAAATTATGGGAAAAAAAACTGAACAAAAAAAAAAAAAAATGGAGGTGGGGCCATGGCTCTGGGATAGTCCCTATCAATCATGTGTGCCTCCAGCATGGCAAAATAAAAATATTTAAAGCTTGTCCTCCTCTGTTCAAGAATCACACTACCTCTTCAGCTCAAATCTAGGGTGAGAATGAAGGCAAACCCAGGAATAAACTAGAATAAAGATTTAACATAGATTGCTTTGTCTTTAAAAAGTAAAATAAAAATAAAAAACTGCACACATGTGGAGGTCAAGTGCTGTCCTAGCCTGCTAGCTTATTTGAGACAGGATCTCATCACTACTGTACCCCAGGCTACCTCGTTTAGGAGCTTCTAGGGACTCTCCTGTCTCCACCTCCTAGCTCGCTGTTGGGTGTATAGACCTGTGCTACCATGCCAACTTTACATGGTTCTGGGGCTCCGAACTCAGGTCGTCAGGCTTGCACTTTACCTAGTGAGCCATCTCTTCAGCCCCTGTACTTGGATCTCCACCCATGACTTCATAAAAGATAGCCAAGATAGTACAGGCAGCATGTGGGTTTACTAGCATCCCACACAACAACCACTGAGGACAACTTTGTTAAGGGACAAAGCTTGATGGGGGCTATCCTTGGCCCCATGGTCCCCATAGCCCCCATCATTTCTTTGCTGAGGATGCTGGGCTGGAAATCTCCACACAGGTCCTGGGGAACCCCAGCTCAGCCATCCTGGATTCTGAGGTCACAGGATTTGGTGTAAGTGCCCGGCCTACCTTGCGGTAGACAGCGCCCACCACAGCCGTCTTGATGCGCATGCCACTGATGAAGCAGATGTGAAAGTACTGGTGTAGAACCAATGTCTGCAGACAGGCACTGACGAACAGCAGTGCCGTGTAGAAGTAGCCCTGCCAGTCGGGGGCCTCCCTGTCATTCACAAAGTTGATAATCAATCTGTTGGGGGGAGGAGGAATGTGAGTGTGATACATACATCAAGATGAAGTACTTCCAAGTCACCATAATAATTTCCACTTGAGCCACAGGAAGTCAGACAACACTTTACCTCACAGGGTGACATGACTGCCAGCTGCCAGCCTCTTACAACAGGGACCTCTACCTTAGGATCACCACACTGACAAATCTGTCTCCCCACTAGCAAGGTCAAACAGAGCACACTGGGACCAAGGTGATGGAGAGAAACATGACAGAGGCCCCCTTGCTGTCTTCTTGGTTTCCAATTTTCAGAAGCTCAAGAAATCTACCTACACATCCTTGCTCTAGACAACCCCATATTCTCTTTTTTTTTTTTTTTTTTTTTGAGACAGGGTTTCTCTGTGTAGCTTTGTGCCTTTCCTGGAACTCACTCTATAGCCCAGGTTGGCCTCAAACTCACAGAGATCCACCTGCCTCTGTGCTGGGATTAAAGGCTTGCGCCACCACCACCCGGCTCCCCATATTCTCCCAACTTTGGATTCAGGAGGCTTCTGTAACTCAAGTGGCTACAATTCAGATGCTAATTAAATGAAACTGGGGAAGGTGAAGGTAGTGAGTAACAAGCCTACTCCTGCACATGGCAGAACCACCCAGGAAGTCAAGCAGAGCCAGGCAGTCAGGCAAGAGTTCTTACTTCAAGATCTCAGGGCCGGCAAACATCATCAGATCATGAAGGGCCTTGAACAGGAAGCTCATGAGGAAGTAGGGCCCAAAGGTCTTGTATAACACCTTGAACAGAGAGGGGTCCTGGTCCTTCTGGGGGGATTTGACAATCAGCGCCTCGACCTCCTCATTCACATCCAACTGGGAACTTCCCTTGGCCTTGCTGGGGTCTTTGGGAGATGCATACACAATCCGCACAGGCTGCCTATAACATGAGGATGGTAAATTACTGGGTCCGCCAGAGAGGAAACCGACAGTCAAGAGTGTTAAGAGCAGAATCCAAGACACGTCACCATAAAGAGGCAGCTTAATGTAGCAGGTATGACCCGGGACTGGGGAGACCTGGGTCCTGCCTGGGCCATCTACTGCCTGCAGCTGCAGGTACACTACGTTCATTTCCTCTTTTGCAAAACAGGGCTTATCATAAGCCAGGTTGTGGCAGTGTATAACTGGGGAAGCTGAGACAGAGGAGGCTCTGAGGCAAAAAAAAATGAGCAGCATAGTGAGGCTCTGTCTAAATAAATTAAAAGTCCTGCCTACCTCTACCTCATAGGGTGGTTGTACAAACTGAGTGAGTGGACATAACTGAAAGGCTTGGTAATATGGCAGCCCCAAGCTCATGTCAGATACACAATTCCTTTCAGAAGCTCAACTGGCTGCTTCACAGGAAGTGATGGATCAGTTCTAAAATCTATAATGGGAACTCGAGACCCAGATAAGCTACAAGCATCCCGAAAGAGAAGAATGAAGCCGAACCTCATACTGTACAATTTCAAATTTTACTGTGAAGTAACTAACAGATGTCAAGAAAGGCACAAGGAAGCTAGCTACACAGGGACCAGTGTAGTAGAAGTTAAAGGCCCAAAATCAAAGATCCACAAGCAGGCTGGGTGGTGGCAGCACACACCTTTAATCCCAACACTCAGGAGGCAGAGGCAGGCAGGTCTCTGTGAGTTCAAGGCCAACATGGTCTACAGAGTGAGTTCCAGGACAGCCAAGGCTACACAGAGAAACCCTGTCTGGAAAAACCCGGGAGAAAAAAAAAAATCCAGAAGCAGGCAATTTCTGTCAAACCCATTCATAAGGGACAAAAGAGTCTTTTCAAAAACTGGTAATGGGCCAAGCAAGGTGGCTCATGCCTACAATCTTAGCACTTGAGAATTGAGTAGAAAGACAGCCTAGGCTACATGGTAAGGACCTCTTTTCAAACAAAGCAAAACAAAAGAATAGTGGGAGGAAACTAGATAGCCACATGTAGAGAATAAGCTAGACCATGACCTCATATTGTATACAAAAATTAAAGATTTTTTTTATTTACACGTATGTGCATTTGCCTACATGAGCTTATGTGCACCATGTGAGTGCAGGTACCTGTGCAAGTCAGAAATGGGTGTTGGATCCCGAGGAACTGGGTGGTTGTGAGCTACCTGATGTGAGTGCTGGGAACCAAATCTTGGTCCTCTGTAATGGCAGTATGAGCCATTTCTCCAGGCCACAGAAATGCACTGAGAATGGACCCAACTTCCACACACAGAAGCTAAGAACTATAAATCTTGCGAGCATAGTTTGCACATAATCCCAACACTTGGCAGATGGAGGCAAGAAGAATCTTCAAGTTCAAGGTCATCCTCAGCTACATAGGAAAGAAAATTTCAGCCTAGATATGGTCATGTGCCAAAACAGCTACATAAGCTACATAAGCTTTCAAGCAGCTTTGTTTCATGGGTCTAAGTCCTCATCAGGTGGTCACAGTGACTCAGCCCAGTGACCATCCTGTGCAGTGCTGTAGTTCTGCCCTGTCCTACATAGGCCAGTCCTGAATGAAGACAAACACCCCAGGAGGCATCCACACAAGTGAAATGCCAGTCCGAAGTCACCTAAGTCTAGAATCTTCCCTCCATTCTGCAGACACAAGTCTATACAGACTATATTCTTACACATTTAAATATTCAGTATCCCCTCTTATCCATGGATATTATTGGCTATGCTTTCTTATAAATACATAAAAGTTTAACCTACAAGTCAACCAAAAATTTAAAAAAAGAAACATTTACAATAAAAATGACACAATATGAGTGTGTTTTGTTACTCTTGAAACACTTTTTTATGCTGTCCTCATCCTTCTTGTGATACTAAGAGAGGACAGATGAAGTAGGGCAAATGAGAGGCACTGTGATGTAGCTTTAGGCTGCTACCTAAAGATTACCACCAATCTGATAACCAAGATGACTGCTGAGTAGTCGACTAGCAGGTGGGTAGAGTGTACAGTGTAGACACAGTAGACAAAAGAACAGTTCATACCCTGGGTGACAGAGTAGGATGGAATAAGAATAGTGCATAATTTAAACCTTAGGAATGGAATTTTAGATTTAACATTTTCATATCATGTTTGATCACAGGTAGCTAAAACCATAGGTATGGGAAGATCATACCTCAGTCTTTTCAACCATCAGCAATTAATAGCTACTTCATTTTGTTTCACACTACCTATTTTTAGATAAGCTGTCCTTTACAAATTTCTCCCTGGTGAAGTTACTGTTCCCTTTTGCCTGATGCTGTGACTTCTAAACCAGCAGCAACAACAAAAACCTTATGATAGCTGACACATGAGCTGTTACAGTCAACTATTATGGGAGAAAGGGGTGAAAAAGAACAATCTCTGGTCCCCAAACCTCCTAAAAGAATGCTTTTCATTTGTCAAAACATGGAATATCAATGGTCTTTAAATAAGATTAAAGTACAGGGCTAAGGACTTGCTCATATGTTCTAAAATTAAAAAAAAAAAAAACAATATTTAGCTTGCCTGAAAATAATGTGTTCACCTAAAAAATTAGACACTGACTCAGGAGACAAGGTCATTGGTAATCTGGGGAATGTTCCAAATGAGAAGGTAAATACCCCATAAATGACATCAAGCCTGGATGTGGAACTCAATCCCTCTCTATAAGAGCTCTCTGAGCCATGAGTTCCCCAAGACAGAGCTTGAAGGCTGACAGTTCTACCATCTTCTCAAGCTATCCTGAGTAAACCTGAAGTCATATGAGTTGTCCAGCATGGGTGCAGGGAAACAAACTGGAATCCTTTGGAAGAGCTTCAGGTACTTTCTCTGAGCCATCTCTCCAGCCCTGATTTTCTTTTAATCAGATACATTGGAGCATTGCTGGTACATCCTCCATCTTGTTCAAGTCCCTTTAGGCATCAAATACTGGGGGGACGACTATCTGTTCACTTTTTCACTTAGCATAATGACTTTGTGCTTCCTCCCTCTGCTCTGAGCAGTGATTCCAACTTCTGCTTACATTCTAATGGGTGTTTGGGGTTGATTCTGTTTTGGACTATCACTCACAAGGCAGCTACAAGTATGCACAAGCCTTTTAGAACCTAAGTTTCCCGTTCTGTTGGGCATCTACCTAGAACAGAATGACAACAGGTAAGTGACTACATTTAATTCAAAAACAAAACAAAACACCACCAAACTCTTTTCCACAGCCACTGAACCACTTGATATTCACGCCAACAGGAAACATGATCCAAAGCAGCCTCACTGTAAGAGGAGTACAGGGTGAGGAGGACACAAAATATTATCACACACAAAGGAAGAAGCACTGGGCCAGAAACAAAGGAGGAGTAGGAGGCAGGGCAGACCAAATTTCCACAGGAGCCCCTCAGGGCCAAGAAACCAAGACAGGCTTCCCAGCCCATGCCTCTCTCACCACTTCCCTAGACAAGCAGAACACCCTGCAGCCCAGAATCTATCTCAGCTTACACCTTTTCTCCGGATAAGTGGCCCTGCCAAGTTCCGGCCCAACAAGATTTGCTCCCTCCTCCTTCCTACCCCTCCCTATCCACAGGTATAAAATGTGCTCACACTTCTAGGAAAAAGAGCAAGTGATTCCTCACCAAGATGGACATCCCTAAAGGTCAGGGTCTTCATGGAGTCAGTCTTTTGGTGACAGCTTTCAAGCCTAGTGGGCCAGTTCCTGTCACACCCTCTCCAGCAAAACAGAAGTGCCCAGGCCAAATCTGTCTCAGATGAGTAAACACAACTTTTCTAGAAAAGTTGCCCAGGGTTGATCCAGCACTAAAGCATGGCCCATCAGATGACATTTATCTCATGAGCAGAACAGAAAACGTCGAGAAGAAGAATGGAGACTCAGTGCCAATGAGTTGGCTCAGTGGCACCTACTGTCCACCCTGACAGCCTGAGTTCAATCCTCAGGACTCACATAGCAGAGGGTGAGAACCAACTCCCATAAGTTGTCCTCTGACCTCCATACATGCATGCTATGGCAAATGCACACCCACACATGTACACATAAATAAATATAAATATAATAATAATAAAAAGTCATTCAATCCAGCAAGAACATTCAAGACACCAGAAAGATGTTCAGAGAGGGAGAGGTTAAAGACAGACTGTGTAAGGAGGGCAAAGCCCAAGCCCCAGCACACACAGCTGAGGGCTGTGACCAGCAGAATCAACTTCCAGCTTGGCAGATGGCCTCCTCTCTCCTTTTGGAGAGCTAATCAATCAGTGATGTCAAGATATAACTTACAGACAATACAGGAGGGAGCTGCTGGGATCTGCCTTTGACATTACACACTTCCACTCCACCCCATCTGATAGATGAGAAACTTCAACCTAGAGAGTTGATGCAGTTTCCCCAGAACCAAGAAACTTAAGAGATTCAGGTCACAGTGACTAATGGAGGTAACAGGTCAGCCTAGGCCACATCTGCCTCGTCTGGGAGAACACCGAAACATGACACCCACCTCCTTGACTTAGCACATTCCTTCTTCCAGTTATTTACCAGCACAGGTACGACTTCTTCTGATGTGTCCTCCTTATTTAGTGACCAGAGGTCACTGCTCTCCAGGGGCTGGCGGTAACCCTGCACCATCATCCTGGGAGCAAGGCACAAAGGGGGACACAGTGAGCATTGAAAGAAGAGTGCGGTGGGACTCCCCTCAGACACCTGCTGCCACTGTCCAGGCATGACTGGAAAAATCTGAGGATGAGTGGATATGAAAGCATATTACCTAATTATGGCTAACTCTACTAGGTCTTTTAGGGAAATGAGCCCATCTTGACAGACAGGTGAACCATGTCTTTAGAAAGAAATAGCTGAGTATTTCTAATTATTGTTCTGCTTTGTAAGTTTTATTTTTAATTATTTTATTTTCAAACAAGGCCTCATGTAGCCCAGACTGGCCCCAAGCGCTCTATGTAGCCAAGGATAACCTTGAATCTGTTTTTCTTGCTTCCTATGAAAGTATCGGCAAATTCTAGGTGTTTTCTTGTCATTGATCATGTATATTGTTCTTATGTATTCCCTATGATGTGCATATATGACTTTACTATAAGCTAGGCGACAACAACAATAATCGCAGTCACTGCTCCGCATCTGTGGGTTTGGAAAAGTTTTGTCTCAAGTTATTCCTTAAGCAGTAGAGCACAGCAGCTATTTACACTGCATTAGGGGTCATGCAACACCTAGAGATGATTCAGAATACAAGGCAGATGTGGTTAAATGTTACTCCGCTTTATATGGAGGGCTGAGCATCAATCAGAAAGTGTAGTATCTGTATACTTTTCTGGAACCAAGCCTGACTTCAACCCAAAGTCAAGCCTATACCAGAGACTAAAGGGGCTCACAGCCCATGTATTTATCACATAAAATTGGAGGCTACTTTGTGACCTGAAGATATAACTTGCAGACAGTACAGGAGGGAATTACAGGCAGCTGAGCTGCGCAGAAGCATTCGTACGCCCACTGCATTCATGCCCCACTACCTACCCCATCTGTAAGCCCAGCCTTACCCTGTAATCCACCAGAAAGTGATCCTGGAAAGGAAAGAGGCGCTGGATTCTGGGCACGGATTCTAGGAGATAGAACACAGGGGAGGGAGGATAAGGAAAACCCAAACTTAACTTTTCACATTTGGGAGAGCTAGGTGGAGCTGACCATCCTTCCTTCAAAGGCCCATGGCCCACGCCCTCAAACTTCTGCACCCCACATGGGCTGCTCTCTTGAGCCACAGGAAAAGACCAGAGCTCATCCCTCCAGTTTCACCCAACAAATGTTTCCTGTGTACCTACTATGTGTAAACATTATACAAACCTCTCTCCACTTACATTTCCATAGCAACCCCATGACCTTTTGTTAACATCGGCCCCACTTCATTCATCCATTCAACAAGTATTTTATGAGCACCTACTATGTACTGGGCGCTCTATAAAGTACTATGGACCTTTCCTTCAACCTTGTGAGGTGGTGTTATTATCATTGTTCCCACTTTACACATCCATTTATTGAGCAAATTTGTATTAAGCATCTACTTTGCACCAGGCACTCTCTACAAAGAGGTGCACACTTTTGTGTTGCATTGCTGTCAAGCAAGTCCAGGACCTTGCACATGCTAGGCAAGTGTTCTCTGAGCTACACTCTCAGCCCAGATTTTACCGTTTTATGGACCTGTGGACTGTCTAAACACTGTCCTATTATTATCTCACTTCCTTCACCCACCCAGATAATACTTCCTGAACATTTACCATGTACCAAGAAACATACACAAATATAAACAAAGAGACAACCCATGTACACCTGGAGGTACAGTTACCCTGCTCTACAAGCTGTCCACACACTCATCCAAGAATACCCTCCAAGGCAGGATTAAGTGTTACCCCCATTTTGCAGTTAAATGAGAATAGAGGCAAAATAGCCTGTCTGAGTTACTATATCTAAAAAAAATGGCAGGGTATGTGAGTCAAATAGTGAGGCTCTAGAGACAGAAAGACAATCATCAAATGACTATACAAATACAAAAAAAAAAAAGGTAAAACTTAATTGCAACCAGTGTCTAAAATGTAGGTAGATATGACCACTGAGCTCACATACAGCAACAAGGACTGGTTCATGAGGCTCAGAGAAGGCCTCTCTGAGAAAGGCCAGAATTTGAAGAGGGAATAGAAAGCAACTATGTCAAGAGCAAAAGCAAGGCATTCCTGACAGAAAGCAATGTGTGCAGAGACCCAGGAGTGTGAAGAAGTACAGCATACCCAGGGACCCAGAAGGGACTTAAGCCTACAGCAGAAGGCTAGGCATAGCTCAGCGGCAAAACACTTGTGTAGACTGTGGAGAGCCCTGGGATCAACAGCAGGCAAGAGAAGTAAAAGCAGTCTATGATGGAGGCTGTATGGTCTACAGAGGAGGTCAGGCTAGGAATGTTGAGTTATTACAGGCATCTCATACAGGAGTTGTAGAGATTTTGAGCCAGCTATCAGAGAATCTCTTTCTCAGAGGCAGAAGGCCAGCTCAACAGCAGGTGGAGATACCAGCACAGAGCTCAAGAAGTTCAGCATTTAACATGTACACATCAAGATCTCAATCCAAAACAGCCTCTGTGAAGGGACAGCAAGGGTTCTCTACAACCAAGAATGCTGCTTGCAGCCTCAGAGTTTTATAGAGAGAGCAGAGGAGACAGCCCAGTCTAATGATGAGTTTCCCATCCAGTCTGTTGATCCTAGTTCCACTTCCACAATTCCAGAAGAAGCTGATTTAGGGTAAAATCAGGGTATCAACATTTCTGTTTGAAACTTCCAAATTATTCTTGGCAAAGTCACTGGGCAGGAAACACACAAGGTAAGGCCAGAACATGGTTAAACTCCATAGCCACTAGTCCAAAGGTGAACGGGAATGTTCAAAGCCCTAAGAGCAGCCAGAAGGGGCCCTACCTGGCCAAAAGGGTGAGTTAGAAAAATGGTGTTCTTTAGCCAGGCAGTGGTGGCGCACACCTTTAATCCCAGCACTTGGGAAGCAGAGGCAGGAAGAACTCTGAGTTCGAGGCCAGCTTGGTCTACAGAGTGAATTCCAGGACAGCCAGGGCTACACAGAGAAATGTTGTCTCAGAAAACCAAAAAGAAAAAGACTACAGAGCAAGAGCCAGAACAGGCACCAAAACTACACAGAGAAACCCTGTCTCAAAAAAAAAAAAGGAAAAAGAAAAAGAAAAACAGTGTTTCAAAACACACCAAATTATGAGACATTCATCTGGATACTGAAAAGACACTTAAGTGATCCAAGCCATTGTTCTGTTACACAGAATAAATGGGAAGAAACAAGAATTTCCTTTCCCTTTTCTAAACAAACCCCACACCAGGGCAGTCAAAGAGAAGAGAGAAATTGCAGCTAATAAATGAAGGAATAAACCCATCTAATGACATGATGGTTTATTTTGCAACCACAATGGCTTGCTGCAATATTTGATGATGTTAAAAGAATTGTCATGAGTGGTATTGAGCCAGATAATGGCCATGTTTTTTTTAATCCTTATCTCTTAAATATTATTACTGGGTATAGATGAAATGGTACTGTGGTGGTTGGAAAGAAAATGGCCCCCAAAGGGAGTGACGCAAGTAGGAGGTGTGGTTGTTGGAATAGGTGTGGCCTTGTTGGAGGAAGCGTGTCATGGGGGTGGGGGGAGACTCTGAGGTCTCCTATGCTCAAGATACCGCCCAACATCTCAGACCACTTCCTGTTGTCTGTCAGTCAAGATGTAGGACTCTCAGCTACTTCTCTAGCACCATGTCTGCCTGCATGCCACCATGTCCCACCATGATGATGATAATGGACTAGACCTCTGTAAATGTAAGCTACCCCAATTAAATGTTTTCCTTTATAAGACTTGCCATGGTCATGGTGTCTCTTCACAGAAATAGAAAAACCCCAGCTAAGACAAGTACTCTACTCTTTTGCAACTTTCTGTGAGCAGAACTATCTCAAAATGAAAAGTTACAAGATAGGTATGGCTTTTCACACTACAATCCCAGGAAACTAAGGCAAGAAAACTGCCTAAACTACACATCAAGTTTTTTGTTTTAAATTATTAAAAAATAAACAAAAAACAGGAGTGGTGAGGGGGGTGCCTGCCTAGCATGTAGTCACATGGGTTACATTAATAAAAGTAGGCATGGTGGTGAATGCCTGTAATCCCAGCACTCTGGAAGCAAGAGACAGGGGGTCAGAAACTCAAGGTTGTCCTTAGCAGCTACAAAGTGAGTTCCAGGGCAGTATAGACAGAAGATCCTGTCTCAACAAAAAGACAGAAAGAAAATCCATCCCCCTAAGCAATACATGTGAAAGTGTTTGCCCAGATGTCTTGGGGATAAAATCCACTACACCACAACCAAGTTTATATAAATGTGAAGATGCCACCATCCAGACCAAGAGAGGCCTTGAGACATGGCTGGCTCCCTGCCCCACTGCTCACCAGACTCACCCAAGAGGCATCTGCCCAGAGCAGGTGTTCAGTCCCCACCCTAGCCCAACCTAATCAGGAGTGGTAGGTGAGGCCCTGGCATAGGCAAAACAAATCCCTTTCAAGCTAAGGCAGCTGCTGTCAATCTGGGTTCAGATCATAGTTCCATGGGGTTCTAGATGTGTAACTTCAGTGGCACATCTCTTCTCAGCATTCAAACCTTGAAAGTCAGAGTCCTGCTGTTCAGCCAACCACAAAGGAACCCCCAATGCTAGAAGAACCACATGAGGCCCACAGGACTGTGTGTAAGATGGATTTCTCTAGCTAAGGCAGCAACACCACTCCTGGAGGAAGTAGAGATGTCTTCCTTCTTGGCTTCAAAAAAAATAAATAATTCACTGTGTCCAGAAGAGTACCCTGCCTGAGAGGGTACAGCCAGGCTCACACATGGGGAAATGGGGGGAAATCAGTCACTTGCTCTTCTCTGCAAGCCCACAGCCCATCCAGGGCAAAAGACTAAGGTATTTGATGGGGAGAGGGAAGTTCACTGTAGGAAGTGACTCCTTTATCTCTTGGGTAAATACTTATGGAGGAGGGACTTGCTTCTATGCCAAGATGAAGGTTAATGCTGAAGATAGGGCTGGGAGGGAGACAGCAAGGTCCCTGACCCCATGAAGCTTCCTCCTTGGGGGGACACAGACAGTGAAAAAAAACAATATGAAAGTAGCAAGCTGGGCGTGGCCTGTCATCCCAACACTCAGGAGGTGAAGGCAAAGGGATCAGTGGTTCAGGGTCATCCTTAGTACATAATTGATTGGAGGCCAGACCTTACCTCAAAGAAACAGAAAAAGCAAGGGCTTTAGAGTTGGGTAAGAACATTTGTTGTTCTTCCAGAAGACCCAGGTTCAGTTCCCAGCACCCACATAGTGACTTACAACATCCCTAACCTCTGTTCCAGGGGATCTGACCTCTTCAGACCCCCACAGGCATGAGGAACACTCATAGTGGACATACATACATGCAAGCAAAACACTCATACACACAAAATAAAATAAATATATCTAAAAACATTTTTAAAGAGAAAGAAGAGTGGGTGAAAAGGAAAAGAAGGCAGAGGGTCGGGGGAGAAGTGGAAGGAGTAAAAGAAGACAGTGGCAAGACATGACCAGGAACAGGCTCTTGCCCTGAAAGTCTGGTGAGCTGACTTCTGCTGTAGGATGGTCCTTCTGTACTCTGTGAATATGTGTTTTGGCATATGGCAACACAGGATCTAGTCAGAAGGAAAATCCAAGAGAGATACAGGGAGAAGAAAGACAGTCAGGGAGACACTACAAGCCGCCAGGAAAGCAAGAAGTAATAGAACACAAGACATGTGGCAATACATCGATTAATAGAAATGGGTTAATTTAAGACGTAATAGCTAGCTAGCAATAAGCCTGAGCAATAAACCAAACAGTTTGTAATTAATATTAAGCCTCTGAATGATTATTTTATAAAAATGGCTGCTGCCTGAGCAGGACCGGGCAGGATTGAGAAACTTCAGTCAACAGACTTCAGTCCCCAGAACCCATATAAGGGTAACAGAGAACCAATGCATTCCTGTGAACTCCAAATACTCCCCATGG